TCCAGTTCCAGGGGATTCGACAGCCTCTTCTGTCCTCCGTGAGCATTGCATGACATGAATGCACTTACCTACATGCAAGCAATACAACGCATACACATGAAATAAAAATAAAATATTTTTTTTAAAAAGAAAAGTATGTTCTTGAATGCTGGTCATATGAGAGGAACGCACAGCAGTCCTGATAACAGCGTTTGTTGTACTGATACTTTCTCTGTTGAAGTGTTGTAGTTATTATTCACGAATGTTTATTGCAGGATTAAAGCATTTGGACTGTAATTTGAAAAAAAAGAAAAGAAAAAGGGGAGTTGTCAGTTGTAGGATGAGCACAGAGTTGGGAAGAAAAACTGTGTACTTGTTACTCTTCCTGTGATAAATACCCTGGAAAAGGCAACTTAAGGTTATATTACAGTTTGAGGGTGCAGTCCATCATGGTGGGGAAGTCACTGTGGCAGGAGATTGAGGCGGGTAGCCATATTATGTCTGCAGCCAGGAATTACAGAGGGATGCATGCTAGTGCTGGGCTTGTTCTTGCCTTTCATTCAGGGCAGACCCTTTCCTGTGGATGGTGCTGCCTGCAGTTAGGATGGGTCTTTTGACCTCCATTACTGAAATCTAGATAATCCCTAACAGACATGGTCGAAGTCTTGTCTCTCCAGTGATTCTAGATCCTATCAAGTTGACAGTGTTAACCATCATAGAGAGGAGTCATCTCTCTGCCTACTCAGCACTCACATCACCAAGCCACACTTATTGTGGGGTCCTGGATGGCAGCCAGCCCATCCTAAGGAAAGAACCAACACAAGATTTGCTTCATCTGTACATTTCTAATAAATGTAATGATACACCATGCCTCAGTTGCTACTAATTAGCATGCTTTTGAGGTTCATGTAGGATACATAGCCCTTCCTTCCTTTAGAAAGGAACAATCTATGGATGGACCACATTTATATTTATGTATTCTCTATAAAATTATAGTTTATATTACATATATACATAAAACACACACATATCAGTCAATATGCGCTTGGGCCATTTCCACTTTTATTTATTATGATAATATGACAGGGGATATCCATTGCCAAGTTTATGTGTAAATGTGTTTTCACTTTTCTTAATAGATACCTAGAAGGGGAATTATTGTGTTGTATGGGAATGATACTTACAAAAAAATTGAGACCAGGCTGGCCTGAAACTCACCGTGTAACAGAGAATGACTTTGAACTTCAGATCTTCTTGCTGTCTCTAGCGAGAGTGCTAGGGATCACAGGCATGTGCCACCATATCAGCTTTCTGCCATGTTGGGAGTTGAACCCAGGGGCCTGTGCATGTTGGGCAAACACTCTCTACCAACTGAACCACGTGCCCAGCCCTACTTTTAAATTTTTGAGGAGCTTCCAGATAGTTTTGCAAAAGTCACTGCTGCATTGTTAATTCTTACCAGGGAAGTTTGAGAATTCTCATTTATCTTCCCTAACTCTCATTATTATAAATATTTTAAATTATGACCCTCCTGGTAAGTTTAAAGTGATCATATTCTCTTTTGATAAGTTAGGAAACGGGACACATTTGCCCAAGTTTGTAGAGCTAATAAATGACTAACCTGGAACTAAGGAAGCAAGCAAGAAACCAGGTTTTCACGGTGCATTCTCTGAGAAGCGTAAAGTCTTTTCCCCTTGCTGAATTACTTAATTTTTACAACTACCAGTAAAGAGGGAACTACCAGGTTCAGATTGTGGAACATTACATGTATCGGATTTAAAAATTAGGAATGCTTATGTGAGAAAGTCTATGTAAACATCCCCAAATCCAAAATCCTAGGAACATTCCTGATCCTAAGCTTTTGGATGAAGGATGTTCAAACTGTGATACCTTTATTGATAAAGGAGTATGGACTAGCATTAGGTGGGCGGTGGGTGGTGTGAGGCGCATAGACTCACGCATACAACACTTGAGGCACTTTTGGGTTCCAGCTGGCACTTGCCCTACCTCTAGTATCTCCTGAAATGTTGCATCCTAATGTTTTGCTGGGGGACATCCTCATTCTGGCCGTTAGGAGAAATGGAGGCACAAAGATCATGTAACTTTTCTATTTCTCACTGCTTATTCTAGTATCATTTCTGTTACTGTGACAAACACCCAGACACAAAGCATAATAGGGGAGGAAAGGGCTTAGTTCATTTACAATTATAGGTCGCAATTCATTGTAATGGGGAAGTCCAGGCAGGAACTGAAATCATCACATTCACAGTCAAGAGCAGAGAAAGCATGAATGCACCAGTGCTGTCTGTTTGCTTGCCCTCAGCCAGCCCCTTCCATTCATACATTTCAGAGCCGCACCTAGGGAATGTGCCATCCACAATGGGCTGGGTCTTCCTATATCAATTAACAATCAAGATAATCCTCCACCAATTTGCCCCCAGGCTAACATGTTCTTGTTAATTCCTTGTTAAGACGGTGTTTCCCAGATGTGTCTAGCTTGTGTCAAGTTGACAGTTAAAACTAACCAACGTACTGCCTGACTTTTAGAAATTAGCCAACATTTTTGTAAGCAGGAAACTCAAAGTAAAATTCCACAGCTTGGTTCAGGGAGACCAAGCAGAACAAGCCAACTTACCAGCCCCCTGTGTAGCAACCTCACACTCTCCTGGAAGGTTAAACAGCCACGGGAGCCCCTGACCATCTGTGCTTATTGTCACAACTCTGTACAAATCTATTTTGTTCGGTGGAGGCCCCCTACAAGTGGCCAGATGGCCTCTGTCCTGGTGGGGAAGAGGCCATCCTGAACCACCAGGATTATTTATTCTGACTGGTTACAGGAAAACAAATGCCATCCCAGCCAAGTGGGAATGACTGTCACTCACCCACAGGCTGAGAGTCAAGCACTCAGGAATCAAATCCCTTGCAATCATGCCTTACTTGCTTGCCCATTCTTTGTTAGTCTGTTTATGAGAATCAAACGATCATTTAATGATTTATATCATCTTTCCAATGGTGGTGTGGTTTCAGGAGATTTTGAGTGGTTCTTGGGTTTGGGCAGAGCCTCCCCCACACCCTGCCCTACAACAAGACAATGTAAATACAAAACCAGACATTTGTGGGTAGGTGTGTTACCCCTCAGGGTGAGGATCTGCTTTGAGAAAGATGCTTATGCAATCAGCCATCTCAGCAGCCTCTTTCTCTCCCGTCCACCAGTGAGATCAAGTGGGTCTGGCTTGTCAGAATCCACTGAGTGAGTGATAGCACGGCTGCCTGTGGGAACCTTTCATACAGGCCACAGATGCAAAGGGTTTTTATTTTCCTGCCATTGCTCTTTTTCTCCACTAAAGTGGACCATTTCTGCTCTTGGATTTTGTTTGTTTGGAAACTCAGTCCTCTCTGTGACTTTGTTCCTCGGTGCACTGGTTCTATGAACCAGCAAGCACTGGATTCTTCTGGGAGATTGTTGGAGATGTAGAGTCTCAGGCTCCACCCTAGACTTCTTAAACCAGAACCTGTATCTTTTGTGTGTCAGTGTACATGTGCACGTGTGTATGTGTGTGTGTGTGTGTGTGTGTGTGTGTGTGTGTGTGAGGCCAGAGGTACCTGCATGTGGAGGCCCCAGGTCAATGTTAGGTGTCTTTCTTAATCACTCACCACCTTATTTTTTGAGACAGAGTTTCTCATTGAAACTGGAGCTCACTGGGTCAGCTAGCTCCAAAGACCCTCCTGTCTCTGCCTCCCAGCAGTAGAATACAAATATGTGCTGCCTCACCTGGCCTTCTGTTGGGATTCTGGAGGGATCGAACTCAGTCCTCATGCTTTGACAGAAAGTATTTTACCAACTGAGCCATCTCCCCCTCCCAGAACCTGCATTCTGACAAGATTCTGGGTATCATCAATTGTGAGATGCATTATTCCCAACTGTGAGATGCATTATTCCACTTTTCTGGGTTTCTCTATTGCCTTCAGCTAAGGTCTCTACCAAGCACTTACTTTGAGACTAGAATTTCAATTTTGGTAGGCTTTCAGATCTTAAAAACATATACATGCTGAAATTCCTTCCTTTGCATTTGCATGATGTCATTCATTTTACCTGGCCTGCCACGAGAAAGAAAAAGACTAACCAGGTCCAAGTCATATAAAGTATTCTAAGTCGAACTTCTTAATGGTGTCTGTTAAAGCCCCCGTCATTAACTGAGCCCCAAGTGTTGCCAAGATTAATTGAGAAAGGCCTAAATGTAAAATAAACACTGCAGCATAGTTTAATTCAAAACCAGATCAGCAAAGAATGGAGGTACAATTAGTGATAAAGATGTTAATAATTAGTTGTGCTCTGTTAAGTTTTATATTCATGGTTGTACAGAGTGAAGAAAGAATTTACCCGGGAGGGCAGAAATCAATGTTTCACCTTGATTGCTATTTTAATGTGCTTATTTTAATGGGGCCATCCTCTCAAAACCCTTGGGCACATTTCCAGTTTTACATAAATGTAGAATTAATTATTATGGAAGCATATAATTTTAGAGTTGGAGCAACCTTGGTGGTCATTTAATCTAGGTCATCCATTTTACAAATAAGTAAGAATCAAATGACTCAAGTCCTTTCACAGAGTACTGAAAGCTGGGCTTTCTGACTCCCAGACTGGTGACCATGACACCCTCTCAGGTCCCCCAGACACATGTGCTTCCTGTGGCCTCAGAATTCCCCAAGTACCATTCATTGGAGTATTTCTAAGGTTCTCACCCTAGCCTGCATTCTCTTCTGGTTGCTGTTGGTAGTGAGGTTCCCCATGGTCCACAGAAATGCCCAAACTCACTGGCATAGAAGCATGCCCACCACAGCTTTCCAACCACTCACATTACCCACTGCATCTACCATCAGTTCTCATTTTCATTCTACCCCATGTCTAGGGAGCCTCTGCTCTGGCATCCTCATCCTCTCTTTTGGGCCACAGGTTGAGCGGTTCTGAATTGATGTGCAAATTCATGACTCTTTGGTTTTTGTTGTGTGCCTACCTTTAGGAGCAGGACCCGAGGTCCCATCGGCCCTGGCAAGTATGGCTATGGGAAGGCTCCCTACATTTTACCACTGCAGAAGGACAGCACACACACACCCCAGAGGCTGCGGAGACAGAGGCCCTCAGCACGGAATTCCAGGTCTCAGGAGGCATCTGCTCCTAGACAGGGCTACAGGCTGCCAGCCCACCAGCTCCCTCAACATGGATCTCTGTATCAAAGTGACAAGGACCCTCACTCTGGACTGCAGGCCTCTGAGGCTTCCATCTACCAGCTGCCTTTGACTCATGACCAGGGCTATCCTGTAGCTTCAAGTCTCTTCCACAGTCCAGAAATAAGCAACAACCATGGTGCCGGACCCCATGGGGCATCACAGAGCTTCTCGCAGCCTCTTCGATCCACAGCAATCTCATGCATCGGAGCCTATCGGCAGTACAAGCTGTGCAACACCAATGTGAGTCCATAGCACCTTGGTCTCGGCCTGGGGGCAGCTGTTCTTCCTTGTGATCATTTGGTACCCAGTGCGTGGAAAACAGTGCGGGCAGGGGGTTTGACTCTCTTGGTGCTCCTGTGATCTCCCTTACCCTCTCTTTTCCCTCCATGTATTCTCCCTATGTATGGTTCTTTTTCTGTAAGGTTATTGCTTTAGAAACTTATCCATAACTTATGGAATCACTTCTTCAAAAATCGCCAAATATTGATATTATTAATTAGTATTTGGGGGGTAAGAAACAACTTCTAAAGTCTCAGTGGCTTAAATTGATATTTATAATTTCAGCATATGTGTACCCCTGTGTGTGTGTCTGTGTGCGTGCACGTATGTGTGTGTATACATCTGTGTGCACATTTGTGTAAAGAGATTTATTTTTCATTTATGTGTGTGTGTGTGCCTGTGTGAGTTTATGTATCACAAGTGTACAGTTGCCTGTGGAGACCAGAAGAGGGTGTTGGATCCATTGGAACTAGAGTTGCAGGCAGTTGTGAGCCACCCAATTTGGGTGCTGGGTCCTCCACAAGAGCAGTAAATGCTCTTAACTACTGAGCCATTTCTCCAACTCCTGCCTTATTTTACTTGGCTGGTTCAGCTAGGCTAGCTGGGTGGCAGGCCCCATAGCTATTCCTGCTTCTGCCTTGCCAGTGCTGGAAGTTACAGGCATAGATCATTATGTCCGGCTTTTTATGTGGATGCTGGGGATTGAACTCAGGTCCTTATGCCTTCGTGGCAATCACTTTAGCAACAGAGCCATCTCCCCAACAATAATTTTTCTTTGCTCCTGAGTCCATGAGTCAGGTGCATTTGAGATGCCAAGGAAGTGAGTGTTTGTGGAGGAGCCATCCAGCAAGCATCCTGGAGGCTCCTTCTTACTCTGTGGAATAAACACATTAGGTGTTGTACAAGAGGGAGACCATGGTGGGATTAGAGCAGCTGGTAGATGCATACAGAGCCCTCTGGCAGCAATTACCAACTGGTTTGGAAATATTTTTAAGAATTTAAGACTGAATAGCTATAATGATATAGAAAGTCTGAATACATCCTTTGGATATTAGGTCAGTACATATTTATCGATTCCTTCTTCATGTGTTTTAATATAACTACTTTTATTAATAACTCACCTCAAACCAGGCACAGTACTTGGTACTTTTCTTACTCTATTTAATCTTCTCCTTAACTTCATAGAGTTGTTCCCCCCTCCCCCCCCCAGTTTCATAGCTACAAAGAGAGGTTAAATAACGTGGGGCGATTCTATAGTCAATAAATGGTGAAACAGATTATTACTGTAAACTCTATAAGGTGACCAAGTGTGTTGCTTCTAATATCTGTATAAAGTCGGTGTTGAAGAGAAAGGAATGAGGGGCTAAGAGGTTAAATTTCCAAGCTGCTACATTTTTCATTAATAATTTAATCTTCCTTAATACTTGTTCCTGGGTAACAGGCCAGCTGTTACATATTAGCTCCAATTTCCTCATTAAAAATATATTTCCTGCTATGGAGTCCATAGAAGTGACTTAATTTGTGATCTTAATAATTTCTCCAAATGCCTTCATTGCTTTTTAGCTTGTTCTTCCACTGAGAGTCCAGGAATTGTTCATTTATATAAAGCAGCCATTTTTCTAAAGCCATAGGTAGCCAGTCAAGCCAAAAGTCTTAATTGAGCACCGTTGTTTGCCTTGCAATGGATTAAGTGCCATGAAAGTTAAAAGTTGCACTGTCTTATTGGACTGGGGCAGTAGGGCCTTTGCCCAGCAGATGTGGGGCTCTATGTTGGATCTCCCATACTGAAAAGGGTGTCATATTCTACTTTATAGAGTTGTTAGGGTAAAATGAGGTGATGTCCAAAAAGTGCTTTGTGAATTGAAAAACTAAGGAGTTGCTTACATTCATGATCAGACATAGCTCTTGCTCTTGAATAGCCATTGCTGTTTTGTTAAAATGAAATTAATTTTGGGGTAAAGTAGAATGTGTTGACAGTATATTCTTTAATTTTGAGATCCAAGTAAGTGTTAAAGAGAAAGGAAAAGACAGAGGGTGTTGTGTGTAAGTGTGGACCTGGCTTCTGCTTAGCTTGTCTTTCGTTCAGCTTGCATTATTTTCGTTGTTTTATTTATTTATTTATTTATTTATTTATTTATTTATTTATTTACTTATTTATTTATTTATTTATGTGTGTGTGTGCTTGTGTGAGGGCATGGGTACCCATGGATGCCAGAAGAGGATGTCAGAGCCCCTCGAGCTGGAGTTTCAGGTGACTGTGAGCCTCCTGATGTGGGTGCTGGGAACTGAAGTTGGGTCCTCTGGAAGAACAGCATGTACCTTTAACTTCCGAGCCATCTCTCCAGTCTCTCGATTTGAGCTTTTAAAGCACGAACTCTTGTTAGTTCTCTGCTGCCAACAGCAGGCTTGCCCTCCTCTAGTGGAAGCTCTGACTTTCCTGGGAGCCAAAGTAAATGCATCACTGGGGAGGCTGAATTGTAAGGGAAATTTTTGTGTGTTCATGGTGCCATCTAACTTCAGGCTAGCCTTGAACTCATTATGTAGCAGAGGATGATGGCCTTTGACCCTGCTGAGACTGTAGGTGTATGCCATGGTACCTGGTGCTTCTGACATTTTGAAAGTAGGAAAAAATTAAGTCTCCAATCTAGGACAAAAAGGATATGTCCTACCCAGGAGTGTATAGGTTTAATTCCCTAATTTTTGTTGTGCCATTTACACACGTGCTATCCTGTGTGCATCACGGTCCTGGGCCCATGCCCTGCTTTCTTTTCTGGAGAGAGACCATTCCTCATAGGGCCTGCTTTGATAAATTCTGGACTTCTGTCAGTTTGACCGCAACCCTTGAATACTTTAAAGCTCCCTTTCTCAGGGGTCCCTAAGGCCATTCCAGGGTTTGTCAGTCTCCTAGGAGATTTCACAAGACTCAGTGCACAGTCATGCTCACAGCTACAGCTTGTCATAGAATTTACTTGAGCTTATGGTTCCAAGGGCAAGAGTCCATTCTGGCAGGGAGGCATGGTGGCTGGCGGTGGCTGGAGCAGAAGTGGAAGCTAGGCTCTATGTCTTCCAGCAGGCACAGGAAACAAGAGAACAACTGGAGATCCTGCAAGGCTTAAGAACTCTCTAAGCTGCCCCCAGTGATGTGCTTCCTCCAGGATAGCCACACCTCCTAAGACCTCCCAAAACAGTGCTACTAACTGTGGAGCCTATGGGGGACATTTTCATTCAAACCACCACACAGTGGAAATAGACAAAGAGAACTCAGAAAAGAGAGACACAGGAGATCAAGTCTGGAGAAAACCAGGTATTGGTCCCCAAGAGTCCTCTCCTCTGGGGTTCCACCAGATAAGCGTAGTTCCTCTGGCAATGTTTTACTGTAAAACATGTCAAAGGTCTGCCAGGGACTCATTCTCTGTGCCTAAAGCTTTTGGGGAACCTGGTCGTGTGGGTATCCTCTGTCTGCCTCATTGCAAAATTCTAGACGCCTGAAGGAAATTAGGTGTTCAGCATAAACTGGACTATTTATTCAAATACTTGAGGTGTGCTGGCCACTCTCAACCATTAGACAGTGATAAGAACCCTCCTGAAATCCTAGGCTCCTGGCCATGGACCAACCTTGCAAACAAGCCTCTCATGCAGTCTCAGCAATCCTAGCATCAAGGATGTCATGTGGACATATCTGGGTCCTCCCTGGTGCCCAGAATGAAGAGATGACATGTAACCCTAAACTATGTAAATCTTCATTACTCAAAGAGGAAAATGCTGTGGACAATATTAGGAAATTTTCACTCTAATCTTACAGAGACTCGGGTTATCACTTAGGTACTCTCTAAAGATTAAACAATATGCATGCAATTCTCATCTAGATATTATTTGGGAGAAGAGAAATAAGATCTAAACCAGGGCAGGTTAGAAACACTATCCTTAAACTTGTGCTCAGTATCTCATCCCAGTTTTGATAGACTCCCCATTTCTAAGATTCCTTCCACAATAAAGGGCTCAGATCTGAGATGTATAGTGATTAATGAGGAGGCGCCTGAGTTACAGGCACATATTTTGCAGACTTACATAAATCTGACCCATGTCTCATCACTGCTCATGCCTCCTCCTTCCTTACAGCTTCTCCCTCAACATCCTAATGGCCTAAAGAGATGTGGGGGACAGTCCCACTTGAAAGTGCTTGTCTGTCACTGTACTTGGTTCTGGAACACTTGGCAAGGGGGAAGAACTGTGAGGGAACAGAGCAGGGGTCCTGGGCTGAGGAAGGCATCACTGAGGAGGGGAGAGTTGAGCTAGGCTTAGAAAGTTGGCTAGGAAAGAGAAAAAAAGCACATGGGAACTAAGTTTAGTCAGAGACAGGAGGCGGGCAGGATGGGATCTCAGATGCTGTGGTACCTGCCAGGTGGTAGGGACTCCTTTCCCCCTCCCCTTCTACTGTGAATAATCACAAGTTTTTAATGCAGAATTTATCCTTTAACAGTTCAAAATGCAGACATGCCACATGAGGCTTGCTTCACTTTTTACGTGTGTGTGAGAGGTTTTTATGCAGTAAAAAGTCGGAAAGCAGCTTTAAGCTGGATGTGGTGGTGCATACCTATTAATCCCAGCACTTGGGAGACTGAGGTGGGAGGATTGCGAGTCCAAGGTCACCCTGTCAAAAAATTAAAATTAAAATTAAAGAAGCAAGCAAGCTACCTACCTGCCCGATTTAATTGGTGATTAGATTTGCAAGGCAGCATGGGATAGTGCTCATGCAGATGGCTTTGCAGTAAGGCTGAACTGGCTTGGCTTGGCCAGTTACTTAGCCCTCTGTAGTCTCCCACATGGTGGAGATCATAATAATCCTGGCCTTTTAGGCTTGATGTCACATTCAGATATGGTCAGTTTTAAGGGTGTAACATGGAGTTTCCATGTTACTGAACACACTGGATGTGGACAAATGAAGGTGACTCACCTCTCTA